CAGACACCAGCGGCCTGCCTGGAGAATAAAAATAGCAGTTCCATCAAGCCAAGAGATTATTAGCGAGGCCGTCTCCGTCATATCTCCCGGCATGGCGGATAGAAGGGCAATGCTTACCCACGAGGCTTCCTGTATTGGCAATATTTGCCTGGGTGGTCTAGACGCTCATGCCACAGTCATATTCTGGCTTCCTGCGAGCTTGGAAAGCGGGTTCGAGTGGCATCGCGTAGTTAGGGCTTCGACTTTGTAACTTGAACTTGTTAGGAGGGAGATATCAGCACAGGATTTTGCTAGAGAGTCTTGTACATACAGACGACTTAACATCAAAGATACCACCACCATTTCCCCAAATTAGGAGCCTCAGAGCGAAGGGTGTCGTAAATTAAAGTGCTCAATAGTAACAAAGCAGAAACAACCTAACTTAACCTAACTCCCGTGACATACATACATACACATGCTTGACTTTCCTCCCGACCCCGTCCCCGACCCCGGCCCAACAATCTCATCTCATACCTGCAGCGCCGCTTCCTCCCTTGCGGCATGCGACCCCTTCTTCCAGTTCTGCGTCGGATCCGCCTTCTGGCCGAGGGCCTTCTCCTCGCCAACCTTGCCCCAGCCGCCGCCGCCCGGCGTGTGCACGATGATGCGGTCGCCCGCCTGCATGGGCGCGCTGTTCTTAGCCCCGAGGTTGATAAACCGCTCTTCGTACTCGGCGTCAGCGTCAGCGTCAGCGTCCGTCTCGGCATCGGCATTGACGCCGGCATCTTGACCGCGGCCTCCTCTCCCCTCTAGCTTCAGCTTCCGCAGACTGCTCTCCCAGCTAGCCTTCTTGACCCTGCGCACCCACAGGTTCAGGCCGCACTGGGCGGGCTCGCCGCCGGCCATGCCGTAGGGCCGGTAGACGCGGCGTTCGCTGAGAATGGAGACCTGCAGGGGGATGCGGAACTCGATGTCGCGGACGACGCCGTGGCCGCCGCGGTGCTGGCCGCGCCCCGCTGACCCCTGGCGGATGGAGAACTCGCGCAGCAGGACCGGGTAGCGGCGTTCAAAGATCTCGGCGTCGGTGATGCGCGTGTTGGTCATGTGCACGTGCACGCCGTCGGTGCCCTCCCAGGTCGGCCCCGCGCCGCTGCCGCCCGCGATGGTCTCGTAGTAGCCGAAGCCGCGCACCTCGTCCTGGCCCGTGACGTTGCCGCCGAAGCCAAATGTCAGGTTGTTGCAGCACCCCTGGCTGGCGGCGCAGGCCTCGAAGGCCTTGAGGATGACGTCGGTCACGCGCTGCGACGTGAGCACGTTGCCGCCGACCACGGCCGCGTTGTCCGAGGGCGAGAGCAGCGACTTGGGCGGGATCTTCACCGTGATCGGCTTCAGGCAGCCCTGGTTGAGAGGTATGTCCTCCGAGATCATGCACCGCAGCGCGTAGATAATGGCTGAGTACGAGATGGCCTCGGGCGCGTTGATGTTGGCATACACCTCGGGCCCCGTGCCCGCAAAGTCGAAGACGGCCTCGCCCTTGTCTGCATCGATGGTGATGTGGAGCCGGATTGGACTGCCGTCGTCCATGAAGTCCTCTGAGGAGAGATCCTTGCCCTGGAAGCGTTTGTGGACGGTCCGCAGGAGGTTGCGCACCTGTTGTTCGGCGTTGTTTTGGATGGCCACCATGTAGAATTGGACCGTCTGCTCCCCCGTACTCGGCGATGAGGCCCTCGATGAGAGAGATGCCCTTTTGGTTAGCTGAGACTTGGGCGCGGAGATCGTTGATGTTGTCTGCGAGGCAGCGTGTACCACTGCAGCCCGGCTGCTGGGCAGGTTCCCTGTAGAAGAGTTCGATGACGCGCTCCTCGTCAAACTTGCCCTCGCTGACCAACTTCTCGCTCTTGATAGATGCCCCTTCCTGGTGGAGTTCTCGGGAATGAGGCGGCATGCTGCCAGCGGTGATGCCTCCAATGTCCGCATGATGTGCCCGTGACGCAGCGTAGAATAGAATCTTATCCCCGGCTTCGTTGAAGGCCGGCATAACGAGGGTGACATCAGGAAGGTGGGTACCGCCGTAGGATGGGTGATTCGACATGATGACATCCCCCTTGCTGAGCTTGCCTTTCCAGATCTCAGCCTGGCGCCGGACACAAGTTGACATGGAACCCAGGTGGACAGGCAAGTGAGGAGCGTTGGCAACCAGACCGCCATGTTCGTCAAAGATGGCACAGGAGAAGTCTAGCCGCTCCTTCACGTTGGTGCTGACACTGGTTTTCTGCAGAGCCCTTCCCATCTGCTCGGCAATGGCCATAAACCGGTGGCCAAAGATGCTGAGCATGATGGGGTCCACCTCACGTTCTTCTGCTGCCTTTGAGGCCTTGTCCTTTTCAGTCTCGGGAATGTCAATCACGACATGTGTCTCGAGAACGAGGGCCGTCGCATTAGGGGTGACCACAATGGTCTGGGTGCCGTCCGCCAGCATAGCAGGCCCCTTGACGACCTCACCCACGGGGAGAGATCACCAAGTTTGTAGATTGGCGAATTCGCACGGCCGCCCTCAAGTACACCATAGCCTCGGAGTGCTTCTTCTCGGTCGACGCTTCCTTTCAGCGTGACCGCATTGAGTTTGCTCGTCAAACAGTCTTCTCGTCGTACCGAAAAGCTCTTGCCAATGCCACGGAACTCGAACGTCATCGACGTATAGATATCTCTATCATCCCAGGGTAAAGCCCAAACTCGTAACGTATGAGTGGTCGACAAAGGCGGTGCCAAAGTCCCACTCGCGCTCAGCATCAGGCTTGATGATCATCAGGGCGGACTCGGTGCCACGGTACCTCATATTGAGATACTCCTCAAAAACTATCTCTCCATCGTCGAAGCCCTGATCCCTCAAAGCCTCACGAGACTTTTCTTTGAGGCCCTCCATCTTTTGTTTCAGTTGGTCCACCACCTCCCCCTGGCCAGTCCAGACAGCAGAGTCGGGCTCTTGCCTCTCATCAACGACATCGGCTAATGCCATACCGTAAGCAGAAAGAACCGAAGAATAACGGTGGATCAGGATCTGCTTAATTCCAAGCGACTCAGCAATGGCAACAGCATGCTGGCCGCCCGCGCCACCAAACGTGGCCAGACGGTGTTTCGATGTGTCGTGGCCCTTGGCTTCAGTGATACTTCTAATGGGTCGCGTCATGGCCTCGTTGGCGACAGTCAGGAACCCATAAGCAACCTCATCAACATCCATCTCCTTGCCGGTCTCTCTGTGGATTTGGTCGGCCAATTCCTGCAGCACCTTTCTGCTAGCATCTGGGTCCAACCCCTCATTCTCGTTCTTGCCAAAGATCTTGGGAAAGAATTCTGGCAGAAGCCTGCCCAGAAATAGGTTGGCGTCTGTAACGGTGGCAGGGCCCCCTTTCCGGTAGCATGCCGGTCCGGGGTGGGCACCGGCGGATTCGGGTCCAACCACAAACAAACCGTTCCGGAAGAAAAGCATGGAGCCACCACCGGCAGCAACAGTGTTGATGTCTAGCTGCGGTGACTGGATGGTAACCCCGGCTGTGGTGGTCTCAAATGTGTGGTCATACCGCCCCTCGCCATACCGCGAGACATCTGTGCTAGTGCCGCCCATGTCGAAGCCGATCACAGGGATCTTCGTCTTCTCATCGTACGAAGTAATGGCATACCCAACCACACCACCCGCAGGCCCCGAAAGAATAGCCCTCAAACCCGTAAACCTATCCACATCCACCAACCCACCATCACTCTGCATGAACTCACACCGCGCACCCTTACTGCCCTTCTCCTGCGTGACGCTCTTCGTGCCAAGCCCACCCTCAAACCCCTGCTGAAAGCCCGAGATATACCGCTTGATCGCCGGGGTCAGGTACGCATCGGCGCACACCGACGTCGCCCGGGGAACCAGCTTGATCATGGGCATGAGCTCGTGGCTCAGCGAGATATGCTCGAAGCCAATCTCCCTCGCCACCTCCCCGACCAGCGCCTCGTTCCCGGGGAAGGTATACGCGTGCATCAGACACACGGCAATGCTGCGGATGCCGCTGTCAAACACCTTCTGCAGCTGCTCCCGGACCGCGTCCCGCCGTGGCCTCCGCAGAACCCGCACCGCCTCCCCGGACAGCCCCATCACCAGCTCCGCACCCTCCGCCTCGGCGCTTCCGACCCGGGCGTCGGCCCTAGTGACAGCCCGCGCGGGGTCCTCGGCGTAGTCCTCGAGCGTGACACGCTCGTCAATCTCGACGACGCTCGAGTAGAGAACCTCGGGCTTGCGGATGGCGAGGTCGAAGATCTTGGGGCGCGATTGGTTGCCGATGACCAGGCAGTCGGCGAAGCCGCGGGTGACGATGAGAGCGATGGCCTCGCCCTTGCGCTCGAGCAGGGCGTTGGTGGCGACGGTGGTGCCCATGCGGATCGAGTCGATGCGGCTGGTGTCGAGCGGCTGGCCGCGCGGGATCTCGTCGCCCCCGAGAAAGTGCGACATAATCCGCCGGATACCCTCCAGCGGCGCGTCCTGGTAGTTGGCTGGGTCCTCTGACAGCAGTTTGATCACTACATCCTTGCCGTTGTAGTTGCCGACACAGTCTGTGAAGGTGCCACCGCGGTCGATGGCGATGCGGATGCCCCGTTGCTTTGGGGGTTCGGTGGCGGCGGGTGACATGATGGGTGACGGGTGATGGATAATGGAGTGTTGGTAGGTGTAATGGTGGGTGGTTGTGAGTGGTGGTGATGGTGGTGATGGTGGTGATGGTGGTGATGGTGGGATGGGGGTGGGCGTAATGAGAGGTGAAGGGTTGGGGTTTACCCTATATCAGTTGATCCGAGAGGCTCTCTCAAGTCCGATTGATAAGCTTTTCGTATAATACCTCAAACAAAGGCTAGAGCCTCCGTGAGAGCCGAGCGGGTGAGCCAAGGACTCAAAAAAAAGGGGTTCAGGCCAAGGATCCAAACAATGGAACACCCCTTGGCAATGTCATCTGGCGCTAATGGTGAGAATGTCTCCGGTAGTTTGTCATCAAAACTAGAGGACGGACGAACTATTCAGAAGAGAGAGGGGAACCCCAGGAGTGTCGTCATGTTAAGGGCGACGCGAACCTCCGGCAGCGGCAACCGGGTGCCCCGCACTCGCTCGGCTGAACCAACGGCCGATCCACCCTTGCCCCGCAAAGGGGTATCACGGGTTCCCCGGCCTGGTATGTAGTGTCTCCAGAAGGGTGAATGGTTATATGCGGTTGGCCGTCGATCTCTTTTTCCAACCAGGCCTGAGCTGGAGGCTACGTCTTGTTACTACTGTGTAGTATGTGCCTACCCCTTACCCCTGAAACCGCTCCCCAGGAACGGCGAGTAAACACAAACAGAACCTCGGTAATTGCACGCTACTTGCACCGATGCACCTCTAATATCCGTAATAGTAGTAAACACAGGGTAGCTTCTTCGTTTACCCCATTCAACAAGCAAAGAGATCCATCGTCCCTGTCCAAGCCCCCTTTGCCCTCTCCTCCCAGTACCCGTCCTTCCCGCCCTTCAACCGCCAGACCTCCTCCCCGTCCTGGGCCGACTCAGCTTGCACAAACCACCTGGGCTTATACTCCTCGCCGTTTTCCTCCATGACCCTCCGCCTCTGCCGTTGCGCCTCCTCGAGCTTGACCTTCCACTCTTCCGCCTCATCCAGCTGCCCCTTCTCCGCCAGCCGCTGGTCCGGCCGCAGCCTGCAGTCCGTTGGCGGTAGCTTCCCCTCCTCCAGCGCCGTGATCTCATTGAGGCCCGCCGCAAACGTGGTCAGCCCGTACGTGGTTGTCGGGTTGTCCACCAGGCTTCCCACCTTCCAGATCTCCTGTCCGCCCGGCACAACCTTGAGGGCGCCGGTCCACGTGCCGTTCATCGACACGCCCGACGGCGCACCGTCGGGGCCCAGCACATCGACCTGCACCTCCTCGCCCCGGCCACCAAACACACCCTTGGAGCGGAACTCCACAGCCGCCTTGGAGCCGGTGCTGTCGTTGCACACGTGCATGGTGCCCACGGGCTCGACGTACTTCTCGCCCATGACGACGTTGCGCAGGAACACGGTGGCCGTGTTCCAGCTGTAGAACTCGTCGCTGCCGTCGGGCAGCCTCAGGCTGATCCGCACGCGACCGTCGGTCGTCAGCTCGGCACTCTTGCCCCAGAATTTCTGCGTCGGTGCGGGCGACTGCGCAAACGACCAGTGCGCGCTGTCCGCCTGCATGGCTAACCGCACGGGGCGGTGCGAGACCTTTTCGACCAGCAGGCGGAACCCGCCGGGAACTTCAGCCTCCGACCGGACGAGCTCAAAGGTCTCGCCGAGTAGGGGATTGAACGGCTTGCGAATGGCGCGTTCTTTGGCGCGGCCGTTGCTGAATTGGGAGATGGCGAAAGCCGCGACACGGAGAAGGCGTTGCTGCGGCTGGCTCTGCTGGGCGGCTGCGTCGAGGAGCTGTGCGTACTCGAGCTGCTCCGAGATACGCTGGAGGAAGGAGATGGGCTCGTTCGCCGACACGGGCATGGAGATGGTGCTAAGATCCTTGCCTACGTTTTTGCGGACGAAGGCGATCAGACTTGGCGGTGCTTGCTTCGCCGGAGGGATGGTCTTGCGCCGTTTGATGACATCGGTAACGGGGAGTGGTGCTAGGGATTTTGGCTTGGTCGGGAACAGGCTCCCGACGCCGTCCCCTGTGTACGGTGTTTCCCCGTCCGCAACCGACGACCCTGACGAAGACTCATGGATCGATACCTCCTCGGCGTCCGAAGCTGCTGCGTCCTCTTCGCTGTGGCGATTGATCAACATTACTTGGTTCTGCGACTGGTCCATTTCGCCAACTTCGGCATCGAAAAACTCCTCGACGGTGGATGCTGTGGATTCGATGCTCGTCCTCGACGCAGCCAGCGGTTGCGCCATGACCCGCCTTCGCTTGCTGGTGTTCAGGAGAGCCGAAAATTCAACTACCACCGAGTCCAGATCTTTGAGCAGCGCCGCGCAGTTGTCGTATGTATCCCGGTCCTCCTGCGGCGCCCCTTGGGACTTGGCGCCGTTCGCAGTTGACGCGGCGACGGCAGGTGCCGGGACCGCGAGAGAAGCATTAGCAGCAGCTTGGATGGATTGTGGTGTCAGCGGCGACGAGGAACCGCTCGCCTTGCGCTTCCAGAACGTCCGCCTGTCAGGCTGGGAGGCAAAGTAGCCATCCGAGTCTTCCGGCACCGTCGGAGTGCTTGGTGAGAGGTATGTCCCAGAGTTGCTGGTCGCCCGCTTCTCGGCCCCCATGTCCTTGACTAGGCGGCGAAGGGCGTCTCTGGTGCCGACAATCCTGCTGACCAGGGACTCTACATGTTCCCAGTCCCTGTCCTCCTCGTGTTGAGTATTGTGGGCAGTCACCGCGGGCTGCGAAGCCGGCGCCTCGTCCCGTGCCTCCGGCGCTAGGTCGTCCACGGCGCTCTCTAACCCCCTGGCAATCTTGCTAGCCCGTTCCAGCGCCCGGGCCCAGTCCGTAAATTCTTTCGCATTCGATGCCCTCAAATGCCAAACTTCCGCCCCGGAGTCGATGGTGATTTCACGCCGCCTCTCGTCCGCGGCAACAGCGGCGAGACTCAGAGGGATGGCGCCCCTCAGAGCCGAAGAATTGCGGTTGTGGTAGTACGAGAGCGTGCAAGTCGTGTAATCGAGCGAGAAGAAACGCCTGGCATACCCTTGCCCCTTCTTACGCCTCCTCTTCAACAAAACGCCGACGTGATAGGAACTCGACGCCCCGTTGTCGCTCCCACCGGCAGCCGACAGCGTTGACAATGCGCGGCCTCGCTGCGTAACCTGGTTGTGTAGACTGTCGGCGGATTCCGAGGTCACAGCGCCCAGCCGCGGGCTGTTGGTCGACTTCCCTAAACTAGATCTGCTGGCAGCGGCAGCTGGGCCGGCCTGAAGATTCGGGAGATGCCGCGCCGTCTGAGGGGGGGCGCCCGTCGGGTAGGTTAGGAGGACAAAGGTGGCTGTCTTGGATGTCTGCTTAGAAAACGTGTTGTCGAAGACAAGGCCGAACATGCCACCCTGTGTTACGTCGTAGGTCCCAACCGAAACCTTGTCGGCTTCGCATTTCCCATGCCATTTTATCGGTATGAAGCCTTTCTTTGCGAGCTGGTCCTGTGCGGTGCTGACATCCCTCTTGGCAAAAAGACCCGTCTTCTCGGCGACGCCGTCTGTGTGCTGCTCGAGGCCGCCGAGGTCGTCAAAATGCGAGGTAAGGTTCGTCGCGCCTGTCCCGGGGTGTTTAACAATGGCGAAGTTACTGGGCAAGCAACGTCAGTGCCTAGCTCAAGACGCCACGGTCCAGGATCGGAGGGAGGGGTCAAGTTACATCGACTTCTTGTGCGGCTGTACGCTCCAGGATATGGTGTGACCGGCGTCGACCTTGACCCATCTCACGATGTAGGCCTGTGATGAGGGGCAGAAACCACCCTATTAGCGATTGCAGGGACATGGCAACGAGCATATGAAGGACGAGCAAGGGTTGGGAAAAAGGAGACGATCGGGTCGTGGGGTCAGCTGGCACGGCCATTGAGATGCGCTACACACCTTGCTGTGGATTTCCAACTGTTCGATGCCAGCCATAATGTCCAAGTACTGTGTGCGCCTGTGGGTTCCGGCACATCAAGCAGAACCGTTGACTCGGTTTCGGTAGTGGGTAGTGTTGCGACGTCTCAAATTTTAATTTGCATCGGGCAGCGGGGGTGATGGCAGAGTTCCGGTTGTTGTCTCCACTAGTGGTCGTTCGAACACACAAGATGAGACGAACCTTTACAGAAGGCGCGTGAGAAGTGCGGCGGCGCGTGGCTGTTCAAATGGTGTTCAGATCGGGTTCAACGGCAAACCCGGGATGCGGGCCAGTCAGGGATGACGACCGCCAGTGGGGGCTCTTCCCAACCTCTTGCCGCTGGCAATCCTAATTCTTTTTTTAAGACCCGTCTCCGACTATGCCTCACTTGGTAAGGGGCTTGCGAGGGGGTTAGCAGGTCATCCCAGGGACAAAAGAAAGTGAACTCTAAGTGTCGCTGCCGACAAGCTCTTCGTAAAGAAAGCCATTCAAAAGCCCAAAGTCTACGTTTTATTTTCCTCGGTGTATTTGCTCTAATCTCCTTTTCTCAATTTGTTTTCCTCTTTGTCTTTCAGTCTCTTCTTTCTCTTTTTTTTACTTCTTGATTATTTTTCGGGTTCGGGTTTTTCTGGCCACAGAGTGCTGGCCGGACAGGGGGTCAACTTTGTCATTGTCAGCCCTACCAGAGCGTCCCAGATTACAATATCGAAAAGAAATGCCGAACTCGAGGCTTGTATCCTTCGGATCGTAAACGAGTGGTTTGATCGCTAAAAGCACACAAGGCAGAAACGCTGATTATTGGGGTATTATTCCCTCAAGCTGACGAGGCGTATTTCTCGCAATGCCATAAAACCAGGCAGCAGTGCAATCCGAGTAAATGGTACGAATCCTGTACGTCAGCCTTCTGAAAAGCCCTGCCTGGGCACGCAAAAGATGGGGTCATCAAAGAACACTGCAGCTCCGAGGACGGTTTGGTCACGCGGTTCCAGGCGTTAGTCCGCTGATTGATTGTATCAGTACATGAATTTTATCGCCCCCATATCATCCCATTGTCGCTCTCCTTCATCCTGCAGCTTTATGCCCGATCCCTCATTACCCGCTAGTTAACCCGAGGCTGACCCGCTCTCCCGTCCAGCAGTAGTGCTGCAAGAAATCATGTTCTACGGCCGCAATTAATGACCCCTTGGCCCGCCGCCGGCCTGCATCTTCAGCATCTCGCTCTGGTACCGCAGCTTGAAGCCGTTGCAGAGCGCCCGCATGTCCGGGTACTGGCTCTTCATCAACTCGTACGCATGCGGGATGACTCGGATCATCCATCCAATGACTTTGGAGTTGCGAGATGCCTTGAAGCAAAGGAAGAAATACCCCGGGTGCTTCGTATCCAAGCAGAACGCGTAGGTAGACCGGTTCGGGTTCGCATCGATGTAGGTGGTCAACCATTTCTCTGTAAACACGGTTAGACCATGCAGCAAGCCCAGTGATGATGGGGCAGAACTTACCGAGATCAGCACGAGATCCCTTTTGGAACTTTTCGTGCTGCATGAGCTCCTCCACCTTCCTCGCCATCGCCTTGACGTGGTCCACAATCAACTCGTCCAGGTCGGTGTACGTGTACTTGCTTCCAACCCGGAGGACCTTGCCCACAGAGAACTCATTATCCTTCTGCAGCTCCAGCACGTCGATATGCTGATAGACACCATCGGCGACCTTCCACGTAATCGCGAGATGGTCGTTCCCCTTGGAAGACGGCCGGATGACCACCTCCCCGGCCGGCATGCCGCCCAGGTACTCTTCAGCCTGTGTGCTGTTGAACGGCCTGAATAGGGGGTGCTTAATGACTCTTTGGGTGCGGCCCGTGGCCTTGTCTTTCTCCCGCAGCTCTTCCCTGTCCTCATCTTCCTGTTTGAAGTCCCACTGCCCACGACCGTAATCGTAATGCCTCCGGTATGGCCGCCGTAGCTCCTCTTCCCTCATAGAAAGCTTGCAGACAAAGTCTTTCCGGTTGACTTCGATCAGCTTAGCTTGGGCAGTTTGGCCGACTTGCAACATGTCCTTGATTGAATGGCGGTATGACACCTCGTGGGATTCGACCCTCCCTTCGATTCCGCAGTCCAATTTGACGATGGCAAAGTCATCCTTGACGATCCGTACATTCACTGGAACGATCATCTGGTCGCAAAGCGAGTCTCTCGTCTCACCTGTGAACATGGTGAAGATCTGGTCCACGCCTGGCACGGTGAAGTTCTTTCGGAGTTCTTCGAAAGGACCCATCAGCTCGGCTCGGATCGCTTCCAGCGTCGCCCGCTTGCGCTGCTGATATTCGCGTTCCAGTTGCACCGCGTACTCCTCAAGAATGAGTTCATTGACCTTCTCCTGCTCGTCGTCCTTGAACAGCTTGCGAACGATGGCCCCAGGCCCATTCTCGTCCGTCTCGGCCTTGACGTCCTCTTCGTCCAGCCCCAACGCATCCGCAGCGACCTTGCGGGCTAGATCGTAATCTTCGGGGTGGATGCGCGTGTTGTCAAGGGGGTCCGAGTCGGGATTGGTGCTGTCATGCTCGATGTACAGAAAACTGGCACAGTTATTCCACACTCGAGGGCCGAGAACCGGGATTTTGTGCCGCTCCGGGTCACCGACCAGCTCATCGCGGGAGGCAACCACACCGCCGTTCGCGTTGATCCCCTTTATTAGCAGCTGTGCCTTGCGTGGCCCAAGACCGGCAACGTAAGGCAAAAGATTGGCTGTGTAGGGATCTCCCATGGCCTCGTTGATATCCACGCCGCAAAGGTTGACAATATCCACCATGGCTGTCTCAAGGTGCTTGTACAGCTTCTCTTGTGGGAGATATTGTTGGTATGGGTGGATCAGCAGCGATGAGACGTCCTTGCCCAGCGCTGCATATTCCTTCATAGGGTTCTGCATGTATCGAGCCAGCGCAATGCAATATCGTGTGAGGGGGTTTAAGGTGGGGTGTTCGGCAACGGCACGGGGGCTGTCCTTGTACAGCCGCGCCACCTCGTCGTTGACGATGACCACCTCAAGCAAGTCGCTGCGGTACTCATTGGTGTCCGGATCATCATACTCGGGGCCCATCAGCCCCTTCTCGCTGATAATCCCCTCGACGTCCTTTATCAGTCGGTTGGTGTCTGCCGAAAAGCCGGACACCCCCACGACATCGGGATTTCTTCGCCGAATCAACTCGGCGAAAAGGTCTCTCTGGGCTTCATCCCTCGCCAGATTGACAAATTTGCCATGCTCAAGAACTCTGCCGTCTTCTTCAACCCATGTCCACGAGATAGGGTCGCGGTTGGGGTCGCCCATGCCGTTCGACAAGGTAAGCACACGCGGGGTGGTACCTAGGACCATCCCCTTCGGTTTAAGAGGTGCCTGGTCGAGCCGTTTGAAGTACTCTTCGCGACATGTCTTGAGAAGCTCTTCTTGGCAAGCCGTCCGAAGTGAATCCTTCACCCCCTTTGCGATCACTTTCTCGAGTTTCAGAAAAGCGATATCCAGCACCTTTTGTCGCTCCGAATTCCACGCATCGGCCAGGTCACTGAAGTTGTCCGACGCGAATTCATTGTAGAGCTGTCGCCGGAATTCGCGGTCATTCTCCAGGGTGAGGTTGACCTCAACGAGTCCATCGTCCTCTGCTTTCATCATCTTGAGGAAGATCTCGGGCCGGACAGCCAAGTCCCTGATGGTGTGGCCCACAAGGTACTTGATTTCGTAATAGGGGTGCGCCTCGTCGATCTTCCGAAGACCCTTCTCCGTCCGATGACAGCTGACGGAACCCATGAGGTAGTATTGGATCCGGAAATGCTTGCGCATCCGAGGACTAACAAAGAGTTCCTCGGCGTACATCTGGCGGGCAGCATTGATTACTTGCTCGCCAGTTGGGAAGTCGTCGTCCGCCAACTGATCGGCAAGGTCGACGGGCAGCCTAGCGTCGTCGTCTGATGACACCTTTTTACCTTCACGGAGAGCGTTCTGCGCCAAGCTATCGGGCGATATTCCGAGCGCTCGGACGAAATTGTAGGCCTGTGATCGCCGGATACGCTCGAACAAAGCTGTCTTTGCGCCTGGTCGCTTCATCTCTTTCGATGCACCATTACCCATGGCAGCAATGTCTTTCAGCTGGGCTGAATACTGAAAATTGAGATAATCCTGCAGGTCTTGTAGCTCTTCCAGCGTCGCAGCCTGGTGGATCATCTCCTCGAGCACATCGTCCCGGATATTTGCTTCCTTCAGGTTGTCAACAGACCGCTCGAGAGCGTTCCTCTTCTCAACCAGCGACCGGAATTTGATATCGAGTTCCAAAATGCGCCACAGGTCGTCCTGGGTCAGTAGCTTCTCGGCATCGACGGTATACTCGGGGGCATCGGGATGATCGCGGTTGTCTTGGTTCCTAACCTTCTTGGCATGAATGAGGTAATCTCTGCGGTGTTGGAAGACGTAGGGAACCTCGACGCCGTCGATAATAAAGAACTCAAGGACTTTGCCAATAGCCTTGTTGAAGGGCCCATGAAGGTCCCCAGGAAGTTGCTTCTTGGGCCACATCAGATTCGTAATCCAACGTGCCTCCTCTTTGAAGTATTCGGCTGATGTTTGTTGCTCCTTGAAGGGTTTGCGATCAAGCTGGAACCGCTCAGGCTCGTCCACGACGCGGATTTGGTTGTCCTCGTCGGTAAGAAGCTTCTCCTTGAGCTGCGAGGGTTCAAAAACGTCTTTCAACTCAATTGTCTGTTCCTCGCGCTCCCGATCATCCTCGTCTTCTTCCAGATCCAAAGCCCAGGCGTAATCGTCACCATTGCCGAAAATGGCCTCCATGTCGTCAAGGGCGTCCTTGTCAAGGCCAGTTGCGTCAACTGCAAGACCCTTTTCTCTAGGACGAGCAACTTCCATGTCCTCCTGGCGCTGAATTCGTTCCTCGTCGTCTTCTGGGTAATCGTCTTCGATAAAATCATCGAACTCGTCGACGTGCGCGCGGTGGCTAGGGCGACCGTAGGCTCGCTCGTCGGCCACCTCCTCGTCATCGTCCGAAAATATCCCTGCGAGGTCTGGGCGCTCGTTGCCACGTTCCTCGTCGCGGTGCCCCCGTTTGAGACGCTTGAACTTGGTCTACGCGATAGTGAGTCCACGAATTAGTCCGCAAGCGTGCGTCAGTCTTGACGTACCTGAGCCTGGGTTTTCCGTTCCCACTCTGGATTAGCTTCACCGATGAGGTCAAGATCTTCCTCGTCGAGTTGCTCCTCTTCCTCACGCTCAACGCGGCGGCGCTTCTTCTTCTTTCGGCGCTCGCGCTCTTCTGAGTTGTCGGCCTCCTCTTCCTCATCTTCGTCGACGATAAAACCTTCTCGAATCTGTAAACGAATGCGATTAGAAGGACTTAGTCAACAAAAAAGCACGAGCAAAGGACCGTACCCTTCTAGCTTCCTCCTCGTCTTCGTCATCTTCGTCTTCCTCGCTCGAATCATCTAGCATATTATCCCGGGCTCTCGTTCGGGACTCGCCGCCCTCCTCATCAAATGACTCATCATCCTCTTCATCATTGAGCTCCGCCTCCCCATCAATCAAGTCGCGCATCGAGGTACTCATTGTGTCGACTTGAGTCGAGTCGCGCTCGGATCTGGTTCGTTTGCCGGGATTAACCCTCGGGGATATCAATCGATTTTCGAGATGCTTGCTGATTTTTAATGAAAAAGAAACTAAGTCGGGCGCGGAATGGAGGAATTTGATCAAAGAACCGATGAATTTAAAGAATCAAAGAAAAGAGCGGAAGGCTGAATGGTTCAAGGTTGGAAATTTTGGGGCGCCGAGCGACCAGCTGCGAGAGCAAGTCGCGTTCAGCCTCGCCCCCTTGAAGGCGGCAACGCTCACTCGGTGATCCGTGCGTCAACCCACTCTACCAGACCTGATGAATGGATGAATGGAGTTCACGCTCCGGTTTCTCCCAGCGTACTCGGTGATGGCACGAAAAGAACTGACCATGTGACCACATATTTGTATCAAACCGCTTTGTCTCGATAGGTCAGGATGGAATTCACAGTACATACTTGTATCGTGCAGAAGTATAGATATTTTACCCAAGTGAGGGAAGGTAGAACGGGCTCTTGCCCTTGCATTTTATGTTTGATGGGCATGGTTCCAATTCCAACCCCTCAATATACCTATCTCAATGGTCTCTTCATATCATACAGTTACATGTAGACCCGCGTTGAATGTGTCTGGGAAATTGGGAATCTGTCAAGAAGGAATCCATAGGTACTTTGGTTGGTTATCACGGTGCCTGGTCCATCACCGCGAGGGGTAGCGTTGGCCGCCCTGAAAAGCATGGACCAACAGGCGGGATCATCCAGCCGCCACCATCGACAACCCCATCGCTCGTTGACCCCACATTGACTGACCATCGGGGGCAGCCCACCCAGGACCCTTCCCACCCGTCCCCCCCTAAAAGTCCAGAGCGCTGCTTTTCTGCAACCCCCTTATGTTATCGAGCACTCTGCAACCCTTTGTGGAAATTTTTAAACTTTTGTTTTTTCTTTTGGAATTCCGTGAGCGTAGGTTTTGTGTCTCGTGGCCACAATACTCCATCGTCCGATCTTGGAAAACCCTTGAGTCGCTGCTGCCGAGATCGACCGCCGCCCTACACGCCCGAGCTACGTATAACAGAGAAAGAAGAGCAAACAGAAACCACCACTTTTTACGCCCGTACAATACCTACGACTGCCTGTAAACTCCAACTAGCCCGGTGGGATATCAACGAACTTCACTAAGGGTATATACCAAAAGGGGCTCTCTTCTTGGCGTTGTCCCTTCAAACACTCCCCGCCCCCTAGCGGCTTTTTCTCAACCCGCTCAAAGTCGCCCGCCCAAGAGCCCAAACCCCCCGCGCTACCGCCCTCGCCGAACCATCATCTTTCGGGGGATGCGACCAGTACAAGCCTATTAAACAGCTTCGCAGAAGAGGCATAGGTAGCAAGCAGGACCTCCATCTCCTCGACACCCACCCCGACGGCCTAACCCCTCCGACTGCGGATCCGGCACTGCACAACCGCCCACCATGGCTGACGCCTTCGCACCGCGCTCCATGAAGCGCAAGAACGTCAAGGGTCTCGCTCTCAAAGCGCCCGCCCCGAAACCCCCCCCGACAGCCGAGAATGCCTCGCGCCCCGCGAATGGCAAGGGCGATGATAACGCCGCGCAGCTGGAAATCGGGATCGAGTTCAACTTGGATCTGAAGCCCGACGACCTCGAAATCATTAAGGACCTCGGCGCTGGTAATGGCGGGACGGTCAGCAAAGTCAAGCATATTCCCACAAACACAGTTATGGCGAGAAAGGTTGGACTTGACGGGCCCCTGCCCAGTTGGATATGTCGCCGACTTGTCTAACGAGAAGCTAGATTATCCACGTCGAGGCAAAAAAGGAAATGCGCAAACGCATCGTTCGAGAGTTGCAAATCATGCACGGCTGCCATTCCGACTACATCGTCACCTTCTACGGCGCCTTTCTCAACGAGAACAATGATGTGATTATGTGCATGGAGTATATGGATGTTGGGTGAGTCGCATCTCCCCGTACATAAGGTTGCTTGGCACAACACTAAACAGTCTGAAACAGATCACTCGATCGTATCTCAAGAGTCTTTGGGCCGGTTCGGGTGGATGTTCTGGGCAAAATCGCTGAGGCAACGCTGGGTGGTCTCACCTACCTCTACTCAAAACACCACATCATGCACCGTGACATCAAGCCGTCTAATATTCTCGTCAACTCTCGGGGTTCTATCAAACTCTGCGACTTTGGAGTGTCGGGGGAGCTTATCAACTCTGTTGCCGACACGTTCGTGGGCACATCCACGTACATGGCCCCTGAAAGAATTCAGGGCGAGAGATACACAGTGAAGTCGGACGTGTGGAGCTTCGGTCTAAGCATCATGGAGCTGGCAATCGGCAAATTCCCGTTCGCAGCGAGCGAGCAATTATCGGATGCAGAAAGTGCACCCGCCGGTATTCTCGATTTGCTCCAGCAAATCGTTCATGAGCCGGCGCCTCAACTTCCCAAGAGTGATGCTTTCCCTCAGATTCTTGAGGACATGATCCAGAGGTGTCTTTACAAGGAACCCGAGCGGCGGCCAACACCACAAGATCTTTTTGTATGTTATCAGCCTTGCTTACCCGTCGATACAAGAGTTACTAACCATTTGATCTCAGGACCGAGACCTGTTCGTACAGGCTGCCAAGAGGACCCCCGTTGACCTGAGAGAATGGGCCTGCGGCTTAATGGACCGAGACAACCGCAAATCTCACCTAGCGCCCCAGCTTTCACCGGCGACTCAAGATCTTCTGCGTGCGAGTGACTCGCCAACATTTGCACAGCAGACACCGACTTCATGTAAGTTTCTCAATTCAGGGGTTAGTGCTGCACATAGCCTAACTGAACTTGTAGCGTACCGAAACGACCCGCGTCAAGCGGCCGACCACACCAATTTGGCCGCCCAAGTCGATCGTCTGTATATTCGGGAATGGGATCAGGAATAAGTACGCCGGGGGTGTATCTTGAAACGGGTTGTGAGGAGACACCCGGCGTTGGTTCCTCGGCGCTGGCCTTGCGGTTCCCTGCTGCCCTCTCCATTTAAGGGATCACCTCATGTTCAATATTCCAGCATATACCGGCGTCATCTTGCCCGTTTTTCTTCTTCTTTTTTCTCATCTCTCTCGATGTGGTCTTTCTGGCCAAGGAATATTGGTTACGTTTCCGTCCGAGAAGGGGTGAAGCCACCGGCATGGCGTGACAATCAAGCGAGCGAGGCTGCAGGTCAGCGAGCGTTATGCAAGCCTTTGCGTTGGTTTCCCTTGTTCTAGCTAGTCAGGCCAAGGCATTTGTACCCATCTTGCGGGTATATATTCTAGTTACGCTTGACGCACCCGGATCACGTTCTGGTTATGGTACACACATGTGCGTTGCTTGCGGCTCGCTCCCCCATCGTCAAAGCGATCCATTTTCAAGAACATCAATCAGCTCGTCTAACCGCGAGATCACCAGATCCGTGTGCTCGTGGTCAGCCAGGTGACGGTTGACGTCGTTCACTAGTAAAACGGTCGTGGCTCCTGCCCTGCGGCCCGCCGTCATGTCGTCAATGCTGTCGCCTACCATGATCAGCCCGCTCGCATCGGCAACCGCCTCCCCTATCTGGGTCTGCAACAGGTCCACGCCGTCGCTCTCTCCCCCCTTGTGACTGCTCTCCTCCGCCGACCGGCGCTGCTCCTCCTCCTCGGCATTGGCTGGCACCCCGGTCTCGCCCGTGCTGCTGCGCAACAGACCCCAACTCCGCGCGATGTGAAGGATCCCCGCCGGGTCGGGCTTGGGCGGCCGGAAGTCCCGCGTCACGATGGGCGCGAACACGCTGCCGGCGAGGAACTTGTTCAGCAGGTTGTTAACGGGCGTATCGAAGTTGCGCGTGCAGATCCCCTTGCGCACGCCCTTCGCGTCGAGATACGCCATAAGCTCGGTCAGTCCCGGCTGGGCGACTTGCTGCAGCATGGCGCGGCGCTCGATGTCGCGGATGAGCTCCATTGCGTGGTGTTGTTGTTCCGGCGAGGGGAGGTTGTAGACATGCTCGAGAATGTCTTGGGATTTGTTGATGCCGAGGGCGTTGCGCATCTCGGCGAACATGTAGGTTTGGGGCTCGCTAGCTGGGTTAGCACGAGGGCTTGAGGAATGGTATCGGTGTTCAAGTTGAAATAGACGACTCCCATTTAGGGTTATAGTCGCCCCTTATGTCTCACGCCTCGCCCAAACTCAATACCATCTCTAACTATTCCAGCCTGGGACTGCACCAGTGAACGCCAATAAAACTCACCATAATGTACCGTCAACATCAAAGACGATGCCCTCCAGTTTTCGGACTCGGGATGGGCCTGCAGTGAAAGGCTGTTTAAGGGGAGCAAACCGCGAAGTTGTTGAAGCAGACTGCATCATGGACCAGAACCTGCGCATGGGCGAATCGTGGATAATTTGTAAGATAAATAAATATATCAGGATCGTAAAAGGAATGTCAATATATTGCGCTTCCAATACCGGGTATTCGAATTCACAGCATCTACCTGTAGGTCCACCTTTCCGCTCCCGATCAACTTCTGGAAACTCTCTCGAAGCAGCCCCGCCTTTCCATTGCCATCTCAAGCCCCGCGATCTCGGTTCTCTGCTTGGCTGCCGCGCTCTCCCGCTGGGGCGATGTCCTGGGCGGCGGGTCCCGGCACCTTGCCGCTGTTTGTGCAGGGGCGTCCCCCAGGGATCACGTTCGGTGGATCCTGGCAACAAGCTCCCGTCGCAACCTTGGAAGGGAGCGGTGCTGTTAGGTACCATTTTTAGAGGTTGTTTTGGGCGAAGTGACTGAACCAACCAACAAAGAACGAAGCCCTGACTTGACTCTTTGAGCAACCCTCCAGGTCGCCGAGTCCTCAGCTTCTCCGCATCCGCCGTGGATCATTGAACAACAAAGCCTCGAATTTCGAACTCTCATGCGCCACGGAAGATGAGATCGACATCTTCGCGGAGATGAGCTCTTCCTCTCCAACGCCCGGCCAATCGCCGCCGCAACGGCCTTCCAAAAGAAGCGTGAGTTAAGCCTCGCTGAACTCGCAACGCGCCCGCACCTTTACATGCCTTCACGCTGAGTGCTTGAAGCTGCCCTCAATGGCCGCAAGACTGACAGGAAATCCCACAGAAACTGCGCAATGGCTCTGTCATTATCCCCTCCACTGGCGAACGGTCACACCGCAGTTTTACCCTCCGGCCTTCTAGCTTGTTCTCATCAAGGCAAGCCGATGCTTCCGAGTCTCCCGAGACCGAGCCTGGCTTTTCACGGCAGTCTATCTCGAACCGAGCACATGCGACGGCACATAGCGTCCGCGAAGGAGGCGCCCCGTTCCTCCGCTGGTTGAACTCTCCTGTCGGTCATGGGATAATAAAGTGCACGCTCGCATACACGTTGGGCAGCTTAGCAACTTTCTGGCCGCCCCTCTCCAACTTCTTAGGCAGACCAGACGGGAAACACGTCGTGGCTACCTTGACCGTCTACTTCCATCCTGCGAGGTCTATGGGATCCATGATCGAGGCGGTCCTGATCGCGATTGTGGCCGTCGCATACGCCGAATTAGTCTCCATTCTATCCATGTGCACATCGATACTTTTTGGTAGCGTTTTGGGAATGGTCACCCTTGCCCATGGCCTGGTTTTAGCCGTCTTCATAGGGGGCGGCTTTGGCTTCATCGGATGGGTCAAGCAGAGGATGAACAACCCGCTCGTCAATGTCGGCAGCACCCTTGCTTCGCTCGCTATCATCGGCGTTGTTACCAAAGAGACAGCTGTCCTCACGAGCGTCTTCTCGAACCAAAAGATTGTCCAAATTCTCAAAATGCTTCTGATGGGCATCACGATCACCACGATTGTCAACGTTACGGTGTGGAGAGCATCCGCCGTATCCGCTCTACGTCAGTCAATGACCAAGGGATCAATCTCGCTCGGCGGCATGCTGTCGCTGATCACCCGTGGTTTTCTCAGTGGGTCCGAAGACGACGTGCTCTCACCTGAATTTGCCGCCGCCTCCTCTGCGTACTCGTCTGTCTATCCACAAATGACCAAGAATCTCCGCGAGGCCAAGTTTGAGCGTTACTTTCTGGGACGTGAGAGGGTCTACCAACTCGATAGGGCGGTGGTGAGGTCGATGGAGACCCTGGCCCAGTCCATTGGCGGGTTGCGCAGCGCCGCGAACTCTCAATTTGCTCTCCTCAAGGAGCCTATGGCTCCATTATCGCGTGTCGGGTCTCCGGTCGGTCGCGTTACCTCTCCCCTTTTCTCGCCGAACCTCCATCGGACGATAGTTAGCACTATGAGAAACGGGAGGGAAGGGTTGCCCTTGCTATCCGCCATCGACGAGGCATCTGATGAGAGCCGTGAGGAGGAGGGTGGTTATTTTGCCCCGAGACGCCAGTCCGATGCCACCGCTGCAAGCCTGCCTCCCTTCAGACACGCGTCAGAGATCTTTGCACTTTTTATTGAGTTGCTCGGGCCTTCGATGAAGTCATTGGCCTATACCTTGTCCGAGGTTCTCCAAGATCCTCCGTTCGGAGCAGCCCCCGACTATAAAATCACCATCAACGACCATTTTCGTAACAGCCTTGCCGATGCTTTGTCCCTGTTCAACGAAGCCAGGGCGCATGCCCTTCAAGAACTGTACAAGACCCTTGAACTAGACCGTACTCGGTCCGAGGCGATCCAGGCCGACTTTGAAGAGGTTGCGGCCGCTTGCGGTCATTTTAGTTTCAGCCTACAAACGTTTGGCGAGGAGATGCAGAAGTACTTGGATGTATTGGATGACCTAAAGCTTGCCGATGAGCACAACAAACGTAGTTGGCATTGGCTCAAGTGGTGGAGGAACGGCCGCCAACCCGGCCAGAAAGCCTTAGCCCTGCCGTACGACAACGAAGAGCAAGAGCCCTTGATCAAACCGATCAAGAAGACCGCGATGCCCCGAGGCGTAGAGCCGTTGCTCAGGCGGAGAGACACGTTCAGCTGGGAAGCTGCCCCGGAGACCAAGAAAAGTAAAGTCGTCGCAACATTATCTCAAAGGGTTCTTAAGGCGGCAAGGAGGTTGGCCAGAGATGACCGTGAGATACCACCCGGCATTCATTCTTTGCTTTTAATTAAACGCTAACTTGAGAGTAGTTCGGTTTGGCTTGAAAGTCGGCGTCGGAGCGGCCCTTTGGGCCTCGCTCGCATTCATCCCACAGACCAGGGAAACGTACCGGCACTGGAGAGGCGAATGGGGCCTTCTTTCGTTTATGATTGTCTGTTCCATGACTGTAGGAGCCGCCAACACGACCGGCTGGGCAAGGTTCTTGGGGACCCTCATCGGCATTGCAACCGCGGGTCTGAACTGGGAGGTATCGCAGCAAAGTCCCTTCGCCCTCATTCCACTCGGGTCGCTCGTGGCATTTTGGAGTTTTTATGTCATTATCGCGCGAGGGAACGCCCCTAATGGGGAGAATCACGCTACTGGCCTACAACGTGTCGACGCTGTACGCCTACAGTCTCTCTCAAAGGTTGACGATGACGATGACGACGAAGGTGGGGTGGACCCTATTATCAAGGAAATCCTGCTTCATCGATTCACAGCGGTGACGGTTGGGATTATTTGGGGGTTGATTGTGTGCCGTCTGATTTGGCCCATCTCCGCACGCAAGAAATTCAAGGAGGGCCTCAGCATGCTGTACCTCCAGATGGGCCTTATCTGGAAGCGTGGGCCGCTTGCCATTCTACTCCGCAGCGACTGCACCCGCTCCTATCTCCGCACCGGTGAGCAGGCGGCCCTCCAAAAGTATGCCGCGCGCCTCGACAGCCTCCGTAGCAGCGCCGCCCGCGAGTTTGAGCTCCGCGGCCCGTTTCCCTCGGAACAAAGCCGGCTACTCATGGGCTGCGCCCAACGTCTGCTCGACGCCTTCTACGCCATGTCACTCGTCACGCAGCGCAAGGGCAACTTGACTGAGGGCGAGCGCGCCCTGCTGCTGTATACGGCCGACGAGCGGGCCATGTTGTGCGATCGCATCTGCCACGTCTTCCAGGTGCTGGCCTCGTCGCTTATGCTCGAGTACCCGCTCACGGACGCCATCCCCAGCGTGACGCGGATGCGGGATCGACTGCTGGGGAAGATCTTTCAGTTCCGGAAGGACCATCAACAGGATGCCGACGAGGGCGGTAGTAACAATGACGCTACGACGAACTATGTTGGCCTTGGGCGTTTGGGACATTTGAATGTGCAAGAACATGACTACGCGCTGCTTTATGCTTATGCTTTGGTCACGGGCCAGGTGGCGGAGGAGTTGAAGGTGGTTGCTAAGGAGATCGAGGGTTTGTTTGGCGTTCTGGATGACGAGACTCTGCTTCTGCAGTGATCCTGTCTTTGGTCTGGGGAGTATGGGTTTGGTCTATCTGGTAGATTGGGGGTTTGGGACGGGTTGAGCTTAGCGGATAATACTCATCCGTTGCTTTCTCATCTCTTTACAAGCTCTAACCGTTATGACCGAAAGGTGAGAAGGGGTTGGATGGCCGCTTCGCAGATGATACGAGTCCGGAATGGTGGCAAGGTACTGGTTAAGTTGTATTATATGTAGGATCATGATGTAAAGGGGTATATCTAAAAGGAGGAAAGGGGCGCATATGGATGTTGGATTTCATGCATTGGCTTATTATGAGCTGGGTCATACATATAACTCACAACCCGGCTGCTAATTCTAGGGTTTTGTCTCACCTTTCTTTCGATATGATATTTATCTTCATCTCTTAACCGCGCAGACGGCTGAACAAAGAGCGTTACCCTAACCCTGAATTGCCGAACTCGGTGGGTCCGCTCTATAATCCAAGTCGGACTTTGCTTGGCGCGTGTCCTTGAAGTTGTTCCTGTCGCTGAGAAAGATCGCTCGACAAAGATCATTCGACACACGAATCGAAAACCATCATGGCTAGCAGGCGCGACTTCCTTAGCCAGCCGGCCCCCGAAAACTACGTGGCCGGCCTCGGCCGCGGTGCTACGGGGTTCACGACTCGATCAGATCTAGGTCCTGCGCGCGAAGGACCCAGTGAGGATCAAATCAAGGCTGCTGTCGCAAAGCGGTCCGCTCAGCTGGGTCTGACGGAAGCGAAAGACGACGACAAAGACGATGATGAGCGGTACCAGGACCCCGACAACGAGGTTGGGCTATTCGCCGGTGGCATCTACGAAAAGGACGACGAAGAGGCTGATCGGATTTGGAAAGAAGTCGACGATAAGATGGCAAAACGCCGCCAGAAACAACGGTTAGTAACCCCCTTTCCATCATTGTCCTGTTTCTCATCTCCCGGTCCCGCGCGGCCTCATCCTCTCCACCCCATATCCCCAACACCCCTAGCGTCAAGCATGTAGTTTATCGTGCGCATAGATGAGCAGAGTGCCGACCGATAATCGCACAGGGACATACGAGAGAACGCCGAACGCGAAGAATACGAGCTTCAGAACCCAAAGATCCAACAGCAATTTGCCGGACTTAAGAGGGCGCTAGAGACGGTGACGGACGAAGAATGGGCGAGCCTCCCGGACCCGAAAGACCTCACTGGCCGTACTAAACGAGCCCGGCAAGAGAGGATGCAACGTTTCTACGCCGTACCCGACAGCGTCCTTGCTGCGTCCAGAGACCAGGGGCAGTTTGGGACCACTGTCGCTGATGACGGCGGGGCGGCCGCCGAGGGGAACAAGGATGGTACCGTGACCGACTTTGCGAAGATCGGTGCCGCCCGCGACAAGGTGCTCAGGGCCCGCTTGGAACAGCAGTCACAGAGCAGCGGGATAGCGACGGCGGGAGGGGCGACGAGCATTGATCCGAAAGGCTATCTGACCTCCTTGTCGAACATCCAAGGGGCTGAGCAAAGCATTGGAGACATCGAGCAGTTTAGGAAGATGTTGAAATCAGCCGTGGACTCGAACCCCAAACAAGCGGCCAGCTGGATCGCCGCCGCTCGCCTGGAAATCGCGGCCGGGAAACCTGGCGCCGCTCGTGGCCTGATCGCGAAGGGGTGTCAGCACTGTCCCAAGAGCGAGGATATTTGGCTGGAAAATATACATCTCAACGACAACCGCAGCGCTAAGGTTATCGCTGCGCAAGCAATCCAGGCGAATCCGCACTCGGTGAAGCTGTGGGTAGAGGCAATGAAACTCGAGAACGATCCAAGGTCACGAAAGAAGGTCATCCGGCGAGCGTTGGATCACAACCAGGAGTCTGAGGCGCTGTGGAAAGAAGCAGTCAATCTGGAAGAGGACCACGCAGATGCGCGGATGTTGCTAGCCAAAGCCACAGAACTCATACCCGAGTCACTCGACCTATGGCTGGCGCTAGCGCGTCTCGAGACACCAGAGAATGCCCGGAAGGTACTCAACAAGGCAGTTAAGAAGCTCCCCAGTTCGCACGAGTTGTGGATAGCTGCCGCGCGCCTAGAAGAGCAGATTGGAGAGGGTGCTAGGAGGCCCGTGATGAAAAACGCCGTCAAGTTCCTCGCCAAACAAAACGCCATGCCGAAGCGCGAGGAATGGATTGCCGAGGCCGAGGAGTGCGAGGACGAAGGCGCCGTGGTTACATGCAGCAACATCATCCAGGAAACACTGGGATGGGGCTTGGATGAGGATGACGACCGCAAGGAGATTTGGATGGAGGACGCCAAGGCTAGCATCGGCCGAGACAAATTTGCGACAGCCCGCGCAATCTATGCCTACGCGCTGCGAGTGTTCCCCAACAGCAGGAGCCTCTACCTGGCCGCGGTGGAACTCGAGCGGAACCATGGCACTAAAGACGATCTGTGGCGGGCTCTCGAAAAGGCCGTGGAGGCCTGCCCCCCATGTCGAGGTCTTCTGGCTCATGCTGGCTAAGGAGAAGTCTGGTGAGCTTAACGAGGCGCGGCGGGTGTTGGCCCGGGCGTTCAAGCAAAACCCGGATAACGAAGATATTTGGCTCGCCGCGGTCAAGCTAGAAGCCGACAACGGCTTCATCGACCAAGCGCGGGATCTCCTCAAGACGGCTCGACAAAACGCCCCTACCGACCGGGTCTGGATGCGCAGCGTGGCCTTCGAGAGGCAACTGGGTGCTAACGAAGCGGCACTGGACCTCGTTCAGGATGCCCTCCAACTCTTCCCCGCCGCACCGAAATTATGGATGATGAAGGGACAGATCTACGACGACCTCGAGAAGCTCCCACAAGCCAGGGAAGCGTACAGCACTGGTGTACGCGCAGTGCCGTCCTCGGTACCGTTGTGGCTTCTCTACTCCCGCCTCGAGGAGCGTTCCGGCAACGTGGTCAAGGCGCGCAGCGTCCTCGATCGCGCGCGGCAAGCGGTGCCCAAGTCCCCCGAGCTCTGGACGGAGCTGATCCGGGTGGAGCGCCGGGCGGGCAACGCCAACCAAGCCAAGAGCCTCATGGCGAGCGCACTCCAGCAGATGCCCAAGAGCGGGTTGCTGTGGGCCGAGCGCATCCTGCACCTCGAAGCGCGGACGCAGCGCAAGACGCTCATCACTGAGGCCATCAAGAAGGTCGAGGACGACCCGGTGTTGCAGGTGACGGCGGCGCGCATCCTGTGGGCGGAGCGCAAGCTTGATCGGGCGCAAAACTGGTTCGAGCGCGCGCTGCTGCTGGACCGGCACATCGGCGACACCTGGGCGTGGTACTACAAGTTCCTGTTGCAGCACGGGACCGACGAGAAGAGGGCCGACCTGGTGGCCAAGTGCGTGCTGAACGACCCGCGCCACGGCGAGCATTGGCAGGCGGTGGCGAAGGATCCCAAGAACGCGGGCAAGGGGACCGAGGAGGTTTTGAGGCTTGTTGCCGCGTCGTTGAGCTAAACGGAAGGATAGGGCGTGTAACTTATGCAAGATGGCGCGACTGTCTTTGCATTGTCTTGTTCGTTGAGTTGTTTTGATATCCCCACAGACCAAACTGCACACCGTTTCATCCTAGAAAATGCAGCAGTCTTGATATCGATAGTACATTATCAACTTGGTTGCTAATTCATCCTCAGCACGCAATAAACTCCTCTGGAAAGCTGAACCCTCAACTGAAGTACCAAAGTACGCCTAACAAAGAAAAACCCCGCTACCGTTACCGTCGTCGTCGTCGCGCCATCATCCCTTCCATTACTTGCTACCGAACCACGACGACACGTAGCTCTTGCTCTTGGCAGCGCCGTCCTCCACCTTGCGGTCGAACTCGTCGATCTTCTTAAGGGTGTCGGCCTTGGCAGACTTTGCGTATGCCTCAGTCTCGCTCCTAGCCTTGGAAATGTCTCGGTTCACGGTTTCGACCTATTTGATCCTATGGTTAGAGCTAAAGGTAGACACAAGGGGAAAGGAAGGAAACATACGGCATTGTCGACCTTGGCACCGAGCTCCTTGCCCGCCTTGCGGCCCTCCTGCTCCAAGTTTGTGGAGCGATGCGGTACCTCGCCCTTGATCTTCGCTGCGACGTGGTGCGCATCACCTGTGGGTTTGTGAGTACAATCGAGCATGACAGGGCCACTATGGTTGCGTTGGCTCACTCTCGAATTGCTTCTCGGCTGCGCGCGGTGAGCCACCGGCCGAGTAGAGGTAGTAGCCGACGCCACCCGCAGCTGCGAGGCCAATGGCAAGGGGCGCTCTTGAACGAGACATTGCGATTTAAGCGTGAAGATTTGTGATTGAAGAAAGAGAAGGTTGCTAGCCCCTTGGGTACTTGGGTATCCTGAAGTAGCCTGAATGTTGATGTATGTTGTTGAGGGGACGGGATGGGATGTGGTTGGATGGTGAGGGGTTTGCTCTCGTACGGCCGAGGAATGGCGCGGTTTTAATTCTCTCCAATGCGTCGCATTCCGTCTCTTCTTTGCCTGCCTCGAACCTGCTTTGCCTTCATTTCCATGGAGCTCTCCCTTTTGGGTCATGTAACATCGAGTGGGTATGACGTAGAAGCGGGGCAGGGAGCAGCGGCAGCGCCGGTATGCTGTGCAAGTGTCATCCTCCAGCCAAAAAAAGCCGAACTTGAAAGGAGAACAAGAAATCAAAAGAAAAAAGTAGATGAAAGCTGGCGAAAAGAAGCAAATAAAAATACAAAAAAAAACCTCGGGTCGGATAAGAGAAAAGACAAACGGAGTACGAAGTAACCTCTTTTCCTTTGAGCTCCCGGATGGTGTTCGTTCAGTTCTTATCCAGGTTTGATCGACATCTGCACCTGGAGTTCGCCTTTTTTTTGTCCAAGGGGTGCCATCGGCTTGGCTCTCCCCAGACCCACCGGCAGCTGGCTGTGTTGGGCCAGACCCTGAACGCTGGGCTTGGCGCGTAGCCATGAACAGGAACTGTGAAGTTGAATTGGAAAGTCCACGATTACATCATGATCCCGGACTTCTCAGTGGGCGGACAGCAGCCTGCCAACTCCCTCCCTGCCTCCATCACCTTTTACTACCTAGTGACCGCTGAGCCGCTGTCGTCAAATCTCCCCGGTTCCCCACAATCGTCAGCAATTGCGCGTCTCGGTCCCGCTACCCTTACCAACCTCTGAAATAGTGCTCCGCCCAGTTCTCGCACAGCACACCTACGGCTGATCCCTAACGCATTCGCTTCCGACAATATCACTTCCGGCCAAGTTCGAGGATAGGGCGCGCGCATTTTCATTACGCCAATGCCCCGCTACATAGGAGACTCGGCTTGACTCGTGATGGCATGAGAAGCCATGCCCAAGATCAGACATCACCGTTCTTCGCGCCGCGTACCGCCTCCTAAAGACAGCGACTTTGATCACGAAATAAACCTAGTTGATCGAGATGAGGAGGAAAGCCCCCTTAGGTCCTCACTGGGCGGCCCTTCGACCCAGGACGAAGCTGCTGGTTCCACAGCAGATCGCCAAGGCGACGTCGGGGAGGATGAAATCGGCGGGGAGGTGACACGGCAGGCAGATGCTGGGCAGCCTTCTGTCCGAGTAGAGGGTGAGTGCGCAAGTTCTACTGCTACCATAACAAGATGCAACGCTAACCTGTATATATCAGGACCGACACCGCAGGTAGAGGCTAGCGACCCCGTTTTAAAGGCACAATCAACAAAACCCCACGGCAAACCCAAGACACCCGAGTCGGCAATCGACATCCTATACGAAAACCAGCGAGGCGGGTTCCTCTGCGGGATACCGCTCTTTTCCTCCATGGCTCTCGGGAACCTCGACCCTCCCGCATGGACCAACTTCGCCCACAGGCCCAGTCCAACCGATATAGGCACGGCGCAAGTGCCCGATCCGAGCTGGGAATGGGCGTGGCCGGAGTGGCGCATCAACCACGACGAGGGCGTGGACGAGGACGGCTGGGAATACTCGTTTGCCTTTTCCAAGAAGTTCACGTGGCATAAGGCGCGGTGGTGGAACTCGTTCGTCCGTCGGCGAGCGTGGATCAGGAAACGGGTGAAGAAGGACGCAGGTTATTCCCCGCAGGGCCCGCACCTGCTCAATCCCGAGTATTTTACGATTCGGCCATCTTCCGACTTATCTGGAGACGGTAGCCCTAGCGAGGCCTCCAGCGTCCGTGGTAGCAGAGCAAGCATGGCCACACTCAACATAGAAGGCGCCGAACTGCACGTCATCGAACACGGCGACGAGCTATTGCGCGTGCTCCGCATGTCCCGGATTGACAGAGAGAAGATCGAAGCCGTCGATAACTACCTCAAACACGCCCAGGAGAGTTTTGAAGGCCTGCAATCGATCATGCACGACATCATGTCCCTCTTTGTGTTCCAAGCATCGCGTCGGGTTCTCCTCGGCAAATTAACCGATCTCTACGACGCGACCGTCGCCGAGCACAAGAAAGAGACGAACCCAAGCCTGGAGCTAGATCAGAAGGTCAAGAATCTCGCCGCGGCTGTCACGCACGCAGATGAAGAGGTGAAAAGACTCGAGTACTGGAGCGACGTGAAGGACATAGCCGAGGAAGGGGGCTCAAAGGGTGCCGTGGATCAAGAGCAGGGCTGGGATTCCACATGGCGAGGGGTGGACAAGTCTGGCCCATCAGCGCCACCCGCTCCCAAACATGAAGCTAAGAAGGGAATTGCAAACAACGAAAATGAGAACGGAGCATGATAGCAACCATGGTCTAGAGAGTACTATTATGAAAGAAGGGTTGGTATAGTTAGGGGGTATTGGAGTCCGGGATGTAAAAGATACCCATGTTCTGTTTCTGCACTGCTGCTAAATATGCCTCTTTCCTTGCTTCGTGTTCCATACCCCTTCATCGAGCGAGAATCAGAATTGAATAGGTTGAATCCAAAACCTCGTCAGCACGAACGCGGTCTGGTGGTACATGGCTCGTGGGACAGGGATGCTGGTGATGAAGGGCTCCCCACCTGAGCGAATCGGTATAGGGTGACTGTGACCGCAGTGGGGTGGGGCCTTAGGTCCAAGGTCTGGGGCGGAACTCCAAAAAAAATTATTGTACCTGAGATGGGAACCCTGAAGTCCCATGCACGCGAATCTCGATGAACACCACGAACACTGCACTGCAGTTATCTTTTGCAGTACAGTAACCTCGCCGAAACCAGGATCGGGCCGTCGGTCGAGCGAACCCACCGACAACATAGACATGCCCGGATCACAGACATGACTCTCGGTTCTGCGCTGCCGTGGAGAACGTGCTCGTCCCCCCTCGGTCGCATCCAACTTCGAATATGCCTCCCGGCTCTGAAGAACCTGCAGGCCGCCGGCCATGGCGCTTTCTTCCACAGCCAACATACGAGCACCAACGCAGAAGAACCATCGGAGTCTGCGCCCCCATCCCCCGAACTGTCCGCCGAACATGTCGCAGCTAGGGCCCTGTCCTCGTTGGTCAGTCGGCTCAGTCGCATCCCCCTAAGGCCTCAAAACGAGAGTAGGTCGATCGTCGTCAAACCCGTCGGTGTGTATCCTCACCGGCGCGAGACCCGCGAGGCGCTGCACAAGCACCACCGCGCCCTTACACAGCAAGTTCGGCTCGAGCGACAGCGACGGCAAGAGCGAGGCGGCGACTGGCGCATTATCCTTCAGCACCTCATGAAGTCGACTATCCCCGACGCCAAACCCCACGGCCATATCAAGGTCGTTATCCCGAGGCATTCGATTGGGTCCCTTTTGTCCGACCACCGGCAGAATCTGTGGAATATAAAGTCGAGGACGGGGTGTGCCGTCACGCTGTATCGGCCAACCGATGAAGGAGCGAACCTAGACCCTTACGTCACCCTCGAGGGCCAACTGGCCTCTATATCTACCGCTGTCGACGATATCCTAAAGGTCACCAAAGGTATCACGGTAGTCAACACCGGAGAGATTCAAGGAATCGAACAGAATGGCAGCCAGCCGGACCAGGCACCCGAGGATGGGTCGAGCGATTCGGCATTCACGGCGACGAAAATCCAACCCCATCAAATGACGGTGTCATGGCAACCCTACAAACTCGATGTCAGGGCAGATCAGATCCCGCGACCCACCGAATGGACGACCGAGGCCTTCCAACAGTACGTGTCGGCCCTGGTTATGGGCGACGTAGACGCGAGTCTCGCCCGGCGTCTGTACCCTCCGGGGAAGACACACAAAGAGGCGGTCGTGCAGCAACTGCTCGGGGCCTTCAATGACCCAAATGCTTCGCATGTTATTTCGCTACCCGCGCTTATCATAGCGCTCCGCTACCTCAGCACTGCTGGTGCGACTTACCTGCTGGAGGTGAGGGAGCTGGTCGAACGAGCCTCGGAACTGGGCCTGCATATGGACACGACCATTTATAACCTGCTGGCCGACACAGCGGTTTACTGCAAGAACCTGCTTGCATTCGAAACTGCAGTCAGCCAGATGATTGTCCACGGGCACAAGCCCAACCTACGAACGTGGCTGCTCTTCCTCCGCATGATCGAGGCAGAGGATATCAGGCGGTACATCATACAAGCCATGGCCATCAAGGGCTTCCTCTCCGACCCCCTGACGGTGAACCAGGTATCGGGAGTCATGGCCGATCACGACGCCTATCGCGCGGTTCAGGAAGGTCAGAACATCGGCGCCTTCCTCGCTGGACTCCGTGACTTGTACGGCGATACGTGGCAGCTTCATCAGCGCGCTGCTTGCAGATATCTCGACGTGTTTGGGCAGTACAGTAAATTCGACGAATCGAGGCAGCTTCTCGAATACATGTTCACGACCAAACATGGCAAGCCAAACGCGATTGCGTTAAACACTGTCCTCACACACTGCAAACACCAGAGAAAGGTTGACCTGGCCGTGGCCTTTGTCCGCATGTTTGACGAACGACGCTGCAACGTAGCCGACCAAGTCACGTTTCAGCTGCTCTACGAGATCGCGCGGCGGGTACAAAAACCGCAGCTACTTGGCGCCGTTTGGCGCTACGCTCACAGACTGGATATGACGAACCATAACATGCGGAACCACGGCATCAAGTTGCTCGCCGGGAAACCGAACCTCTCGCACCTCACGAGATTGATACGCGGAATTTGGGAGGGGCCACACAAATGCCCAATCAGCAGGAAAGAGTTTATCGAGGGCCTCTTGCTGTGCGACTACAGTACAAGCCGTTCCACAGGGTTAAAAATTGCAAAGGGCCGGCCCAAAAAGAAACGGGATCTCATCAAGGCTACCCTCCCTTCTGCCCCAGACAACGAACCTATCGCTTCCAAAAAGGTTTATGTGGAAGCCGGGCTCGGAGAGCTGTTGGAATCTTCACCCAAGGAGCCACCCGAGGAATCCCCCGAAAAATCCCCAGAAGAATCGCAACCCAGCTCTGTGGTTGTTCCCGTTGGGGAGGCGGATGGAGCCCAGGAAGGGCCCGAGGAGCAGGCTGCGACCTTGTATGCCGCAGAGGCATATGACCTCTATTCCAAAGCCGTATACAAAAGCGTCCGCAATGTCGCGCCGGCGGTCCCGCTTGGTAGCGTTTTACAAGCCGCGCTCGACAGCGACCGGAGGCTGAACTCGCTGTCGCGTGAAGGAATTGCGCCGGCCCCTGGCATGCGGGTGGCGGCCGACTTATATCCCGTCAAACTGCCTGTTACCCCGCGGGGAGATAGGGGCCTTGGGGCGAGGGCCATGTTGGCATGGCTAACTAAGAAGACTGAAGATGAAGCTGCTCGTGCGAGAGCGCAAGAGCTAAGCGTCATTGACGTAGTGGGGGCCCGCCCTGAGGAGCTCGATGACTGGAATACCATGCTGCTGGCGGGTTATGAAGCTAAATTAGGGAAGAAATACATGCCCTGATAGATGTATCATATGTTCTTGACATGATTTATCGAAGAACACAAGGCGAAAGAAAGGCAGGCAGGGTCAAGTGCACCCCTAGCACTGCGCCTGTACGACATTTGTACGATCATAGAATACAAGATACCATTAGATGAGGCGGGCACATCTCAACAACATAAACAATCGAGCGATTTTCTGTTGCTCCCTGGCATATTCAACCGCACAGTATGTTTTGGGCTGGGTTGCCAAGTCATATTCGTCGAAGGGGGTGCGCATGCGATAAACGCATGGGATGTTTTGCGAGGCGGGTAATCCGCGTTATGACTTTTGAGCATAACTCTAGGAAACAGAACGAACTAGAGAAGGAGATGCCCCCTTATTATAGCCGGCCAGCGAAGGCGACTTCCAACGAGGACTACCGCCTGGGAAGTGGCCCAACCAATCCACGGTGGCCTATTTGGCACCGGTGGTGGTCCTCCGCCCTAGGTTAGCTGTTCACCTGCCGAATACCGAGAGGTTGCAGGTTTGAGCGGCGCCCGGGGTGCTAAGAAAAAAAGAGTTCAAGGGAGCAAGTCTCCTAGGTCTTTCCGGAGAAATCCCACGGGGGTTTCGTAGCCGGCCACCTCCCTTCGGGGGGCTGGCAGGTGAGCTTTTGCTGTTCCTTTCCCTCTTACCACTTCCTTGCCATTTATTTTAGATGAGAAACAAGGAAAGAGAAGGCATACGAAATAGACCCCTATTTGTTTTCGTAGTTGGTGACTACCAAAACCGTTGCTTCGATATATGGTGTAGAATATCAGGTAGCTCCGAGGTTGTTACGTGATGATCCCCAACAATTTCCTAAAGCGGGGGATTGTCACTCCGACAATCCGGCTTGGATAACTACCAGCAATCCAACGCAACTCACTCACCTGCACACTCATCAAGGTCAGACAATCATCATAACTTAAACCGGATGCGACGAACGGGGAAATCCTACAAATGTCAATGAAATTCACATCGGCTTCCCAGTGTGGAGAGGACAAAAACAAGAACCCATGAGATCGCCCAAGGCTAACGTCACTCACTGTCGATATCAAGGATGGCCAACCCGCTAGCAGCTGGCATCGTTCCCGCCCAGCTCGGCTTCCTGGCCATCTACAACCCCAGTCTCGGCACGACCGACGAAACCGTCGAGGACCAGATAGTCTACTATGCCTCGGCTAGTACTCAGTCGAGCGCAAAACGGCGCCGCCACCGCGCAGCCAAGGACGGCCGCCCAACTGATATCCTCTCCAACGAAGAGCGCAACGAGCGTCTTAGGCAGATAGGCCTCGCTCAGGGCATGGTCGAGTTTGGCCGTAGTTTCTCTGGAGGTAAAGCTGTCGATTCTATCGACACCGAGCGCACCCGCGTCGTGCTGCATGAGCTAGAACCAGGCTGGTGGATTCTCGCTGTGAGTTTGTCTATCCTTTTATCTTTCTCGTCTCACACCGCAAATAATCTAACCAGCGATCCAGTCCATCGACCTCACCCGCCTTCCGTCACCCCCAACCAAGATAACCTCCTCCACCCCACCACCGCAGAGAACCAAAACCAGCACTCCCCCACCCCCCAAATTCGAGTACTCTTCCCGCGAAGTCAAGCCTCCCGCCCTCCTCCTGCAAGACCTCCTTCGAGCGCACGCGCTCTTCCTCCTGCACCACAGACCCTCCCTCTCCGCCCTCCTCAACCCCACCCCCGCCACCCCCAACACCACCGACGCCGTCACCGCCACCCCCGACACAACCCCCACCACACCCACCGCCAACACTTCCCGCCCACCATTAACCGCCCTCCTCGCCCGCTACTGGGACCTCTTCCTCTCCACCTGGAACGTCCTGCTGCATGGCAACCCGGCGTGTGCCGTGTTCGCCGGCATCAAGGTCGCCGCGTGCGGCGAGCTGGGGATGGGCGTCGGCGAGGAGGACCGGGGCAGTGGAGAGCGTGAGGTGCTTGAGGGTTTGGTGGGGAGCGGGGAGGGCGGGTTGGTGGATTTGGTTGTGGGGAGGTTTGGGGTTGGTGATGGGGTGGGGAAGGGGGGAGGGAAGGGAAG